CTCAAGCATCGTGCGCTTGCTGTACTTTCGAACTGCTCAGAGTACTTTATACGCTACAGCCACAGCGTACTTTACATTAGTCGATAAATTTCATTCCTCTACATCCTCGGAGACCCAGGGGCTGAGCCCCTGGGGACATTATCTTACAAGACTATTTCCAAACGGTCGCAGTCGTTCTGGCATCGTTCTGAAATGACAATGACCAAGGGACTAGAAGAGATTCCGTGGCCTATCGAGCTCAAGAATTTGAACACACAACGCAGCAGTTGAAAGATTAAACTGTCTCCAAACCCCTTCGGTAACTGTCCGAAAACATATCTCCTTTCCACGATGTTCTCAATGATTAATCTTTGTTCAGATTTTAATTAGGTAACCGGAAACACAGCTAAGCTTTCTTTAAGCGCTTGCTGGAGGTCGTTCACGGACTTAACGTTCTCTGCAACTTTGGCCATATTGTTAAGACTTTACCACAAAGCAACGATTAGAACTTGGCGCGCACAGAAAGCAAAGTAAGTGTAAGCGCCAGTTGCTTGACATACCTGCGTGGCCCATGCGACGAAATAACTTCACGGGATTGGAAAAGTTTCAGTCACAACAAATTGCACAAAAAATCTAAAAAGATTTAAGCTTGCATCTCATCTAACGTTTAAGGCGACATATCCATGCCTGCAACCATTGTTTTATACGAACCTCGCAAACTTTTATACATGTTCTCTTGTGATACTTGCAAAAGTATTCAGTATAATTTCCAGTAAGATTTCGCGGACAATCTGATCGATTTCTCCTACATTGTGTGCTGAGACTGAAACTTTTCACCTCGGGCAAGGCTTCGTCGCACGGCCCAAACAAACATAGCGTGCAACTGAGCTTGTTGTATATGTGCGTGTTAAAACACACGAAAGGACAATTAACTCTGATTGGGCAGAAAAACACAAAGATTTTCTGGCACCAATCAGATGCCAGATGCATTTCTTCCATCGTTGATATTGAAAGTTCCTGTCTCGGCGAAAGCCATGAGTGAAAAGCGTTTCGTTATCCACGATATGGCCACCGTAGATACGCCACAACTCGTGTGTAAACAGCGTTCGCGCGCACTTTCCATGAAGTATTCTATATTTATGGTACTCTTGCCCGGTAAAGATTTTTAAGAGCGTATAGAAGTAAACACAAGAAGGGGCCTCTGCTGTGCATGTAAAGGTCTGAAATTTTACTTAACTCAAACCTGTGTGCATTGTTCCGTGAGAATTTGTCTTTCTTTCTTAGGTTTCAACAATTTTCTTGTTAATGACTTTTACCGCAGGTCACGCAAATGAGTAATTAAGGTTGCAAAAAGGTAAAGATGAAACTAAGAACTCAACAAAGTAAAAAATCGCTCTTTCCAAGATGTACCACTGACAAAAGATGTACACCTTTTTTCACCAACTACAATCTCGGGTGCGTGAATAAACTTTGGATGACAATTTACTTACGTCTGCACGCAGTTATTTTTAGTCAACAATTGGCCCAGTCTCTTCACAGGTAACCCAGGCTCACTGTTTGTGTCACTTGCACATGGTTAAATATAGAGAACATATGTGGCGATTTGTTGTTGTACACGAAGAAGTTTCGGGAAAAATACTCTTCTTCACCTTTCCTTCATAGCAGAGAATTAGAGACAACAACAAATCACCACATGGTAAGTTTCATCGATTTTTATTTCCATTTTCAAGCAAATTTCCAGACCTAAACTTCGCCCCATATGTTCTCTCTATTTAACCATGTGCACGTGACACAAACAGTCACTTTTAGCGTTCTTGGTATAACCCCAGATGAGACTTCGAAAGCACTCGTGTTTCCCAAAACTCGGGGATACCCAAAACACTGTGCAGCTCTTTGAGAGCAAAAATCCTGGGCACGAAGTTTTCTTCCGAAAACTGCTGATCATAAAGAATTCGACGAGAGCTCACTGTTGTTACTTTCCGTTGGCGCTTGGTAAGTCTTCATGGAATATGGCGGCTAAAGAAGATCAGGAGCTAAGTTTATTAGAATTAGTATGTGCAAAATTAACCGAAGCCCAGAATGTAATGGCTGAAGCTAGCGACTCAGTGAACGCTAAAGTATCTGATGCGCTTCGGCTTATGGCCGAAACAGGCACTCTACTGAAAAAGGATCTTGATCATGCGCGAGTTAGAAAGGAAGCTGTAGAAGAGATGACAAGAACATTGAGTCACGGCCACTTCGCCAGCTTAATTAAGCTGAATGTTGGTGGAAAAATATACAAGACAACATTAGATACCCTTAGAAAGGATCGAGACTCGGTGCTTTGCGCGATGTTCTCTGGAAGATTCGAGTTAAAAGCTGATCCAGAAGATGGAGCATATTTCATTGATCGTGATGGGAAACTGTTTCGGTAGGTAACAATACAGCAACGGGTTTAAGATCAAGTAGACTTTGAGTGACCTGAGAATTTTCACTTAGTTTTGTTCTGATATTATGCTACAAAGAGAAGTCGAGATTGACTTATATTTCACCCAGGTTAAGGAAGACTAATCGTATCGTCGTTGCACATAATTACGGGGATGCCTTCACGCTTCATGCTGACAATGAAACTAAAGGGAATGCGTGACAACCTACAAACATTTTTATTGTAATGGGTTGTGAAGGACTTGAGAACAAAGAGAAGGGTAGGTTGCGTTGTTCAAAGGAGTGTGCATATTCCACCCCAATAAAAAAAGGATATCAAATTTGCAGATTCTGAGAACCTCAGTAACATTAACAACGAAATGAACAATACCAATCAATACGTATGATGCACGATCCTCGCAGTAGATAGCGCTATTATCATAATATATTAATAATAATTATAATAATATAATAATAATTATAATTATAATAATAATTATAATAATTATATTATAATATATGAACTTCATATATTTATTCTATCTCAATACCAATCAATGTTCCAGTATACTGTTTTCCGTGTTTTCTCTTTATTTCTCTCAAGATATATATTGAACTACCTCCGTGATGGTGACCTTCTTTACCCTGATGACCAAACTGTAAGGGAGCAGCTCCTGAAAGAAGCAAAGTTTTACCAAGTTCAAGGAATAATTAATCATCTCGAAGAAGCGATGTCTCCAGCGTTACCCTCATCAATAATAAAAGATGAAATTGATAAGTCATCTCTTTTGTCATGGCTGTCACCTATGACTACTTTTTCCCTGCTGTATTGCGCGTCTGTAGATGGCAAAACTCCTGCTGATTTTCACCGCTGCTGTGATAAGAAAGGGCCCACTCTTGTTGTTATCAGTGGTGAAGAATACATCTTTGGTGGCTACACTTCAAAGTCCTGGACATCAGGTATAAACTAGCAGTAAAAGTGAATGTAATCACCATTTGTGACCACAACCATTTATCTGTTAGCCCATTTGTTTTCCTTTCCATTTCCTCTCTGTATGTCACTATGACCTTTCTTTTTCCCAGGTTCTCCCGAGAGAGTCATTGAAGATAGTGAATCTTTCCTCTTCACACTGGTTGGTCCTTCTAAAAGGGAACCGATGAGGTTTAATTCAGGTGCTCATGGTGGCATATGCTGCAATGGTGAAAAAGGCCCTTGGTTTGGAACCTCAGGGGGCTACTATAACCTTGAAGTGCTAAACAACTTTTATGCCAAACTTGATCTTATTTCAAATTGTGATTTTAATTTTCATGACAGTTTCGATGTGGATTCTGACTTCTCTGAAAACATGTTGTTTGAACTGGATGAACTCGAAGTATTCAAGGCTAATTTTTAGCCTGATCAGAACCCTTCGCCTTTGATAGCAAGAGTAACAAATACCAACAATCTCTTTTTCCTTAGAAGCTATAACAAAAAATATTGAAAATAAACTGTTACGGTAACTGATTACCGGCAGAAAGATAATAACCTCGCTATTTCCACGAAACACAATTTATGTAATTGTAAACAAAGGGAGATAACTTAACACGAGCTAGCGACTACTCTTGGAACAATCCAACTAAAATTAAGTATGTACTTCTCTATGCTTATCTGACCACAAGCAAAGTACTGTCCTTCTCTTTGGCGAAATCTCCTGAAGACTTCCTTTGCAGTATCACACTCCGGCCACAGTAAACAACTCTGGACTTGACAGCAGAATGTCAGTCTCACATCCGAATGGGAAAATCCCTTCACTTGTCACTTGTCACACAATATCACTTATAGATCACTAACAGGGAACGAAGTCCCAAATCACAACAACAACCTGACAAGCGAGCTACTTATATAAGCATCCGAAAATAGTCTAGACGTCTCCAAAGGTAACTATTTATAACCATTACAATAGTAATTGTTTATAACTATTACAATAAACTCTATTTTTAAACTGATGAGTCACAGTTCTAGAAAATTCTTGAAACAACATATTGCGTGCCATTGACTTTTGCAAACTTTCTAGACAATTCCAATCCTTTTAACAAAACTAGCGTATTAGCAGCCTGGAATAACCTTAGGAGGCTTAAGCTGAGCTAGGCAGCCAATTGATATCAGTGAAGCCAGGCAGCCAGTCGACACCAGTGTTACATTATATGAAATATGATGAGAGAATTTGTTATCTTTTTTTATCATTGAAGTGGCCTGTTCAAATATCTCAGGTTGTAGGATGGGTGAAAAGGCAAGGAACGCAAATGAACTGATGTAGCAACCATTCTTTTCTTCGAGTATTATTCTGTAAACAATCTTAGGAGACCTTAAAATGATCTTAAAATGATCTTTGTTCTAATAAAGAATGAATCAAACGATTAGACCACAGTTAAGAAATAGTTTTTTTTGTAATTTTAAAATCAACTGCAATAGCTGGCTGAATCTTGTAATCAAGTGGTTTTATTATTTTTCTTTTTTTAACTAGTTTTAGAAAGTGACTGCTGGGTATAAGAAGCAGTAGCTGTGTAAATAATTAGATTGGATAAAATTTAATTTGTCTTTCTTAAGTTTCCAAAGTTTTCCTGTTAGTGCCTTTCCAACAGGTCATGCAACTATAACCCTCAGTCAAAATTAACCTGATGAATAGCTGGGTGAGGTGAAGGACTACTAGTCACCCAAGCTTCTGTCAAGGTGTATTGACTTATTTTTTATTAATGCATTCTGCAAGAAATTACCAGTCACAATTTGCTTCAAAATAATGAGCTTGACATGGCAGAGAAATTGGTTCATGATTGTCCAAAATGAATACAGGTGATTGAGGTTGCAAAAAGGTAAAGATGAAACTACAAACTCAACATAGTGAAAAATAGATCTGCAATGCATACGTGTGTAGCTTATGAAATTGAGCTCCTCTTTAGTGTCTGGTGTCTTAATAAGTTTCTATTAGAAGAGCTAATATCTGATTACAGTTAGATGGATTTCAAAATTGTTCCTGTTCGTCAATAAAACAAGATAACTAGCATACAATATTCTTGAAATGTTCGTTTTCAAGATGAGGGTTAATGGTCAAACTTTGTAATGGTGATCTCATTTTGACAACCAACACCCCAACGATGCACATGTAACCTGAGGATGTTAGGAACAAAAAAGATGTTAGCACAATCTCCCATGGTGGCCTGAGAGATTCAGTCATGATTTTGTTCACGTAATGAAGTGAACTTGAGTACTAAAGTTTGTTGGTTGATTTTCTTTTCCAGGGCAAGTGATGTGAAATTAACTCTAGGGAGGCATTTCATATGAATATTTTTGGCATTTTGTGTACCAGTGCATGATGACAAAACTCTCCAGAAGGGCCAAGACATTCGGGATTGATTTAATGTACACTAAGAGCCATTGAGAGCTTGATTTGGTTTGAATGAATGTCTAAATTTGGACAAAACATTCATGTAAGGCAACACAATACTGAGCATAGGTTTCTATTGTCCAGAAGGGCACAAAGTTCTATTGTCAGTTGGTTGAGACCAATCTTTTATTATAATTATTGTGTCTGGGTTTTGTGGGACCATGTTTTCATTAAAGAACACAGAAAAATTTAGTTAAGGTAGGTCCTCAAACATATTCATCGATTTAAAAAGAACTAATTATAGGAAATTTTCAGTGAAGTTAAGGGGAGCAAAAATGTGGAATGAATTACCTAAGGACCCGAAAGAATCAAAATCATATACACAATTTAAGAGATTAATGAGAATCTATCTGCAAAATCATAGTTAAATTCTATGCCAAAGATATAACTTCAAATCGTAATTTTATCAGAAAAGCAGCAAAATATCTTACGTTCATAATTAAACCATCTGCTATAAGTTACAGTTTTTATTAGATGGGGATCTTCTTATAAAAGCTCAGTAGAGCTTGCTAAGATCTCCAGCCATAATATTATAGCTTATTTTAGCTGGCTTATAATTAAAGCTATGTAACGCAATGACAAATAAAGTTCATATATATATATTATTTTTGGTGAAAAGGTCAAGAAAAAATGATATGTTCCCTGCCCAGTCTCTTGTCTAATTAAATCTGAGCGTTCTGGTTAACCCCAGAGGAGATGTCGTCAACACTGGGTACGAAGTTTTCTTCTGAAAACCGCTGATCAGAAAGAATTCGACAGGAGCTCACTGTTGTTACGGTTAGCGGTATCTCTTCATCTAATATGGCGGTTAAAGAAGATCAGGAGTTCAGGTTATTAGAGTTAGCAAGAGAAAAATTAAACGAAGCCCAGAATGTAATGGCTGAAGTTTGTGACTCAGTGAACGCCAAAATATCTGGTGCGCTGTGGCTTATGGCCGAAGCAGGCGCACTATTGAAAAAGGATCTTGATAATGCGCGAGTTAGAAGGGATGCTGTCAAAGAGATGACAAGAACATTAATTCACGGCCACTTCGCCAGCTCAATAAAGGTGAATGTTGGCGGAAAAATATACAAGACAACAGTAGATACTCTGAGAAAGGATCGAGACTCAATGCTTTGCTCGATGTTCTCTGGAAGATTCGAGTTAAAAGCTGATCCGGAAGATAGAGCACATTTCATCGATCGTGATGGGAAACTGTTTCGGTAGGTAACAATAAAGCAACGGTTATTAGATCAAGGAAACTTTGAGTGACTTGAGACTTTTCATAACTTTTGTTCTGATATTAAGCTGCGAAGAGAAGTCGAGATTGACTTATTTTTCACACAGGTTGAGGGAGACGAATCATGTCGTTGTTGTACATAATTACGGGGATGCATCACACGCTTCATGCCGACGGCGAAACTAAAGGGAATGCGTAACAACGCACAAACATTTTTATAGTATTGGGTTGTGAAGGACTAGAGGGCAAAGAGAAGGGTAGGCAGTGTTGTTCAAAGGAATGTGTATATTCTACCCCAATAAGAAAGGTATTGCTAAAAGGAATAGCAAATTTGAAAATTCCGAGAACCTCAGTAGTACGTATGATGTACGATCCCTATTTAATACCGCAGTTCAAAATATATGAACTTCATATATTCACTGTAACCTCAGTAGTATTAACAGTGAAATGAACAACCAGATACGATGAATATATGAAATTCATATATTTTGAACTGCGGTTGTAGATACGTATGATGCACGATCCTCGCAGTAGAGAGCGCTATTTATGCAATAGCGAAAATCAGACCTGAAAAAAATCAGGCCTGTACGGGATTCGAACCACTGACCTCTGCGATACTAGTGCAGCGCTCTACCAATTGAGCTAACAAGCCAACTGGGAGCAGGCCGTTAAGTTGATTCGTAATAAACCCGTGATGATAAATCAGATAC